ACACACACGACGCTAAAGCGCTGAGCACAAGAGCGCGATCCTCGTGTGCTGGGGCCGCGGCTGAAGGTACCTATGTCCTACCTCAGACCATTCTCGCCATGCCCATTGCAATGCCGATAACGATCGCTCGAGACGACGCGCAATTTCACAGAACGATACACCCTCAATGTGCATACCCACAAACATTTCTCGCTCAAACTCGCTTAAGTAACGCGATCGCCCATCCTTTGCGCACAGAGTACGATAACAATGTGGTTCCTCACACCACACTAAAAACGACCGGTATTTTCCATCCACTTCGGTCGATAGCGACGGAATGTGCCACTTGGAAGGGTGGCTCAGACAACAATGCTGTGACGGAACAACTCGAAACTCCCTGAATAAACTCGTCTACAGTAAACCTTTGTGCTCCGCAAACATTATGGACTTATCTTCACGCGTTCAGATTATACAGGGTGTGCTCGTGAATTATTTCCAACAGTGTATATTAAGCATAATTCTTGATTATCCCAAATTTTAATTATTACCCAAATAATTCTTGACACATATCGATGTACATTTGGAGCCAAAAGTCGCCGAATGGCCGCGTGGTTTGATTCCCAGTTTGGAAGAAGCCGTATTCGGTGCAAGATTGGTAAAACCACTGCCGCACTAAAAATTTTGCCTCAATGAAGAATCTAAAGTTAAAATTAAATCTTACCCGGATCAACGTAATTAATAGTGGTGTTTTTGTGGTAATCAACATAGAATTGGAAATTAGTTATGCAAGCGTCTCCGAAGAAGCTGCGAATATAACCAGCTAATTTCTCGACTGCGGAACCGCTGGTGCTTAAGATTGATTTACAAGCTTCATCAATATCGCCTGGTTGCGCATATTGGGTATCATAAACGAAGGGGTTTGCTATATTTCTAAAGAAATAAGAACGTTCCGGTTCTGAAACATCAATTGGGTCGCAAGTACTACAAAAATTAATTCATTAATTTTTTTTAATTAACTCGAATTCATTAATTTACCCAAACATCGAAGACATATTCTCCAACCCATCCACGCTATCCAAACTTCCCTCCAACATTCGAATCCCTTCCGTAACAGTATCCATACATTCATCACTTGATAACCTAAAATTATCAGCAACAACTTGGAAATACCCAATAAAATCAGCTTGGGCTAAAAGCGGTGCGCTCGAAGCTAAAGCTGCATCGACGAGATGGGGATATTTTTTGCGAATCCACGTGGCCATTGTAGCCGAGTATGAGCCACCAACGACGACGACCTTGCTGTTTTCGGCTCCTTCTATGTGCGATTTTTGGTGTTGGATGAAATAGGCGACGTCGGCGATCGCTTGGTCCAAGCTGAGGTATTTTAAGTTTTCAGTGGTGAAATCCGAGACCGGTTGACTTCTTCCGTAGTAACGATGTTCGGTGTAGAACATGTAACCGTTGTGTTCGTTGGCCATGTCGAACATTTGCCCGGTTCGGACGTAACCTTCGTCGATACCCCATTCGCCACCCAAAAAGATGAACAATGGACCACCGGGTTTGTAGAATTGGTCGTTGCGTAGGTATCTCTATAAAAAGAGAAAAATGTAATTAAATCAAATTAATTAGAATAAAGATATACAGGGTGATTTATAACATAATAATAATAATAATAATAATAGCCTTTATTGCACATTCATCAGGAAAAATGAAAAATAATTATAAATAATTGATTACAAAAATAAAAGTAAAAACAAATTGTAATAAAAAGATAATGAGATAATTAATAAAATAATGTACTACAGTAAAGTATTACACCAAATAAAAATAAAAAAAAATAATAATAAAAAAAAAGAACAATAACAAGAGAAAAAGAAATAGTGCAATCACGAGGCAAAGATTCAGTTGTATACCAACTGATTTTCAATCCAAGCCTTGACAATTATTAGAGAGATATGAAATACATCATAATCCTTAACTCTACAAAAAATAAAAAAAAGAAAGAAAACAATATCTTAAATAATGTAAAGAAATATTCGCAGCAAAACTGTGACTCACCGGTCTCTGCCAGAAATAGTAGTCACCTGCTCTCCAAGTAACCGTGCCCTCAAATGTTTTTTAAAACAATTAACACCGAGATTCCTCAACTCGTCACCAATGCTCCCGTATGACTTATATATATGAAAAGAAAAAGATCTTTGGAAAAGTGACGTTCTGTGTCGAGGCGGGTCTATGCAGCACCTAAATCTAGTTTCACGATTGTGAATATCGCACCTGAAAAAAATCTTATTGTACAAATATATAGGGGTTTTAGTAGTAATCAATTTATGATAATAAGTTAGAGTATGAAGTTCTCTTCTTGAGCGCATCGACAACCAGCCTGATTCAATAAGCCAGTGGGAAATGTGATCGAACTTCCGGATTCCATAAATAAAACGAAGACAGCTATTCTGAACTCTCTGAATCCTCCCCGAGTCATATGAGCACACAGCCGGATGATATAAGGGAATCATATAGTTAAACTGAGAAAGAACCAAGGAGTCACATAAAGTTTTTTTCAACATGATAGACAAATAGCTTCTATGGGGATATAGTAGCCTTAACGAGTGATACGCTTTCTTGATGTAGTGATTAACTTGACTATGGTATCTAAAACTGTTATCTACAATCAAACCAAGACTCCTTGCCTCACTCACAATCGGCATTTCAGATCCCTGAATGTAAACTTTAACCAAACCCTTTAACTGGTCGCAAACGCTTTTGTTACCAAAGAGCAAAACGGCAGATTTATTAGGATTAATTTTCAGACAATGCAAATTGGAAACATTCGTTATATATTCCAAGTCAGAATTTAAATTATTAATAGCATTGCGCCATTGGGATGGACCAAAAGAAACATAAAGCTGGGTATCATCGGCATAACTGTGAACTTGATTGTGTTTCACATTATGAAAGATTTTTGAAGTATATATCGAAAACAACGTGGGACCAAGAATTGAGCCCTGAGGAACCCCAAAATCAATTGGTCGAGAAGAAGATGTTATGCCCTCAATCCGAACACACTGTGATCTCCGTCCAAGATAACTGCCAAGCAGAGCAACCGCCGAAGGATCAAGCCCAACAGAGTGAAGAATCCTAAAAAGGACCGCATGATTCACAGTATCAAACGCTTTACTATAGTCTAACAAGGTAAGAACGGTAACTTCACCCTTATCAGTCGCAGAGATAATGTCATCTGTCACCTTCAGCATCGCAGAGCAACAATCATACCCTCGACGAAACCCAGACTGAGTAGATGATAGAGAGTCAGTATCCGTAATAAATTCCGTTAATTGAACTTTCAGTACTCTTTCAAGAACCTTTGATAACATTGGCAGAATACTAATGGGTCTCAGGTCCTTCAAAGCTTTTGGGTCACTACATTTAGGTATAGGCTTAATTAAGGCTTCCTTCCAGCAATCAGGAAATACACTTTCCAGAATGCAGGAATTTATAATATGTGTAATAAAAGGTACTATATGGGGACAACAAAGTTTTACCATCTCAGGACTAATTTTATCAGTTCCTGTTGAAGCAGATTTCATCGATTTAATAACATTAAGTACCACGAGTGGCTCAACGACACTAAACTTAAACCTAGAGTTATTATCACTGATATTCATGTCATATAATATATCAAGAGCAGCGTCACTAGAAGGGGGGAAATCATCCACAATTTCTGATATACTGTCAATAAAGTAATTATTAATGTCCTCAACATTTTTCAAATGATCCGGTATGTTCATGCTCTTGCTCTTACGGATTTTCATGTCATTAAGTACACGCCATCTCTCTCTACCATCACTCAACTGAGAAACATACTTGAAATAAGCTCTCTTCTCGGACAAAACTGCACGAGATGTGAAGTTCCTCAGTGACTTATAATAGTCCCAATGAGCAGGCACCCGCGTACGCCTATATCTCTCCTTGGCCTCATCCCTAAGCGATATTAGCAGACGGAGATTGTCCGTTAGCCACGCAGGACGAACCTTAGAAATTTTCCACACTTTTATTGGTGCATGCGCATCAAAAAGGGAAAGTAAAGAGTCATTCAAGAAGATCACTTTATTGTTAATATCGTTCATATAGTAAAGTAAATGTAGTGGCAATCTTTTTAAATCCGTATAGAACTGATCAAAATTTATGTTTCTAATATCACGTTTGTATATTACTCTTGGTTTAGTACCCTCACTACCAAGAACAAGATCACAAAAAATCAAATCATGATCAGCCAAATCACACGACTCCACACCGGATCTCTTAACAATAGAAACATCAAGCGTAATGAACAAATCAATAAGAGTGGCAGAAGCAGGGGTTACTCGTGTTGGGACATTTATTAACTGACTTGCGCCCACAGACTCAAGAAAAGAACTCAAAAAAACTGAGTCTCTGTTAGTACACTTCAACATGTCGACGTTAAAATCACCACAACAAACCACCCGGTCACTCAACATCATTGCGCCATTCAGAGAATCTTCAAATGCATCAAGAAAAGATGAAAGGCTATCCTTAGGGGGTCTGTATACAACTCCAAGAACCGTTAAATTTCTTGCTTTGGCGACCGATATCCACAACTGTTCAATATCCGGTGATGAGTCAACAAGAGTAAACTTAAGTGATTCATGAATGTAGAAGCAAACACCCCCGCCTCGACCGCAACGATCACGTCTTACCACGTTATAATTATTGAGAAGTATAAAACTATCATCGACATCGGCACTTAACCACGTCTCCGAGACACCCAGAACATCTATCTGATGACGAGCCAAAAGAACCTCAATGTCTACCAATTTAGAGAGCAGCGACCTTACATTTATATGTGCAACTCTGAAATTTGCAGACATAAACAAGAAAAATATTAACAAATATCAAAATAATGAAACAGCGGCGGAGCCACAGCAGTAATAAATGAAAAAACAACAAAAAAAAACAATATAATATAGAGATCACAAAAAAAACAAGTATTTCGTGAAGAAGAAAAAAAAAGAAAAACATGATTGACGAGATTTGCGGGTTCCAAAATTAAAATTCAAAATTTATGACCTTCAAACTCAAAAATATTTAGAATTTTATGTACATCCCCATTATTCTTATAATAAACATTACAATTAAAAGTAAACACATTCTTATTACCATACCGCTCGCAAAGTTTTTTTACTATATCAACTCGATATTTAGTAAGATCCTCACGAATTATGATTTTTGAATTCTTGAGCTTACTCTTCGCACCATACACTTCATTCCTTACTGTACGGCGGCAAAATTTAACTATGATGGGCCTATCACTAGCCTTTGACCCCTCACTAGCCTTTAACGCCCCTAGCCGATGACAGCAATCAATAGACATTATTAATAATTGAGCCCAAATGAATATATAACCACAGCAAAACTCGTCAGATGACTACACGCGACCAAAGCACATCGCTGAATGACATAAGAAAGAACATAAGGAGGTAAAACTGAAGAGATTTTCTTAACAATATTTTGTTAAAAACTTAATAGTTACATAGATATCGCATGTTAATTTTAAGTAAAGACAACTCGAATGACACCATCTTTTCCAGGATGTATGTTTCATGCCAACACTGTGGAGCAACGTTTTTCTCTCTCAAGAGTACTAAATTCCCGCATCAAACCCTTTGGTTAGCATTATTTCCATTCTTCTTCCATTTAGCTCGCATTTGCAATGTGAACAAGTACTCCTTAGACCAGATTTTCCAAAACATTTGGATTTGGTGTTGTAATAACTTAAAAGTGTTTAGAGCACTTTTTGGAGATTGAGGTTCCGCAGATTGTGATAAAGCAGTAAGTGATTCTCCAATGAGGAAATGTCCCGGTGTGAGTGCTGACGGGCCACTAGGATCATTGGATATTGGGTATAAAGGACGGGAGTTCAAAATTGATTCTATTTGGCACAAAACTGTTGTCATAGCTTATATTGTTAAACTAGCAGATAGTATCTTTTTTAAATGATTTTTCATGGACTTTACTGCACTTTCATGTAATCCACCGAAGTGAGGAGTACGTGCAGGTATGAATCGCCACTTTACATTGTTCTCCATTAAATACATCTTCTGACCAATCGTTACTCTGATTAAAAAATGATTGCAAATCCTTATTGGCTGCAACAAAATTCGTGGCATTACCAGAATATATGCTAGCAGGAACACTACGTCTACCCACAAATCGTTTAAAACCGTTTAAAAACATCTCAGACGTTAAATCGCTGACCAGCTCCAAATGAACAGCCTTAGAAGAAGAGCACGCAAACACAGCGACATAAGACTTGATCAATCTTTTGTTTCTAAATTTCGACTCCTTTATAACAAAAGATCCGGGAAAGTCGACATTTACAAATTTAAACGGTCTAGAATCTTTTATTCGTTCATAACGCAAATCCGCCATTTTCAAGCTAAACTCTCTTCCGGGATTGAATTTAAAGCACACGTGACAATTTCTGAGCACTCACTTGATAATTGCCAAACCAGACACAGGCCAGTATTTTTCTCGTAGACTAGCTAATAACCCTTGTGCTCCTAAATGCATGTACTTCAGATGTTCAGCCTTTATTATCAGCCTTGTCACAAAATGATTCTTCGGCAAAATGATTGGATATCTTTTGTCAAAAGTGTACTTTGAGTTTCTCTCCACTCTTAAAAGTCCATGTCTGTCCAAAAATGGATCCAGTCCCAAAATCTTACTTCCCTTATTAATCGTACCATTTTTCTTTAAACACTCTATCTCTTCGCTAATCCCCCAACTGGATCAACTTCAAAACAATATTAAATGCATCACTAACCTCATCAGCAGTTAAAGAACGTGCGTTTACCTTTATTGATTTATTGCACTTATTCACAAAACATCAAACTTATTGTCGGAACATAAAAGCGTTATCATCGATATCCTTTTTACTTCACACAACTCATTGTCATCAGATATCTTCACTGCAGTATTTAGCCAATTTAGCTCATTCATTTTAAACAAATGAGGACCTGTAAACCAGGTAGAAAGTTTTAAATTTGATGCTGAGGCACCTCGAGAAAAGAATATCAGTACCTGCAATATGATTCCACATTTCACATTTTGTAAGTGATTGAATTCTATTTGCAACAAAAGATTTGAATTTCTTATAATCAGATCTTATCCAGTAGACAACAATTGAGGAATCAGTCCACAAGCATATTCTGGCAACTCTGGAAGAAAATTCACCAGAAACGACCTTGATCAAAGTGGCAAGTAACACAGCTCCACACAACTCAAGTCTGAGAAGCGTACATTTTTTTAAAGGTGCAACTCTTGACTTTGAACAGAGTAACTCCATTTTGACGTTATCTGAGTGATCCTTAGAACGTAAATAAATCGCAGCAACATACGCCTTTAAACTAGCATCACAAACTCCATGAATCTCCAAAACAGTAAAATTTTCAGCAATCGTGTTGCGAGGAATAGCAATGCTGCTGATTTGTTTTAAATCTTCAGTGAGTTCAGCAAATTCGTTTTGCATTGTTCTCGGCAAAGGATCATCCCAAGCCAAGCTCAACGGCCACAAACCCTGCATAAAAAGTTTAGCCTTAACAGTTATCGGACCAACTATGCCCAAGGGGTCAAAGATTCTAGAAATCAATGATAGTGCCATTCTTTTAGTTAGTTTATTATTCGAGTT